ACATCGTCTGTAAATTAAATAATTTGTAAATCAAAAGTAGAATTAAGTATAAGAAATAATTTAATATATTATTTTCGATATAATCGACTAACGAAGCGAAATGGATTCATAGTCACATATTTTTGGTTCAAAATGTCCAGCAGGTGACCGAAGTTTGTTGAACTCCTCGCTGGACATCCTGCAGAACAAGTACCACTGAGAGCGTGAGTGAGATTCTCACGAATTCTGTTTGCGATGCAAAGGAATCTGGTGCCTGAGGTTTATTAAGCACAATTCCACTGACAGCTGATTTGCACAATAAGACTTCCTGTTTTAAGGACACTGTGCAAGCGAGATCGCGAATTTCAAAGGTAAGACGGATCCAGATGAGAATAACAAGCTGTTTCACAGATTTGTTATTCATAAAGTACTGTATTTACACTAAGACGAGACGAACTTGATACATCTCACTTCTAACATCAATTAAAATACGGCAAAACAGCTGAAATTAATTACACTACTATCTCACAACTTTTACACCCAAGAAAATCAATTTTTATAGCGAGATAAACAGCGATCGTTTATCTCTGATAACTAATTTCTCCGTTTTTGTCGTGAACAAAGTCTCCAAAAAATATGGAGACAGTTAATCTCTCGAAATTAATTCAATCTCGAAAAAATTCTATCGGTACATCGTATTAAGAATCTTCGTTGTTCCTGAAAATATAGATTCACATAGCGATTGAACAATTTACGTTCACTGAAACGTCTCGTTCCAATACCAAGCTGCCTTTTTTTCGTGTAATTGGCTTCGTTGTTCCGGCGTATCGGTCGTTGGACGGAAAGGAGCGCGTAACGCGATTTCAGTGGAAATAATAAGCGGAAAACGATCGCGTTTCCGTTTCCTAACGAAGTGGAAAAAAGAGAAATCGGTGTCGCGTCTGGCACGGAGTAAGCCGAGACGAAGGCTGTGCGACCATTTGAAAGAATTCCTCCTAAGCCACTCGATGAAACGCGAACACCATTATTCTTTCAGCGGCGCGCTTCTTGTTACTCATTTCCTTCCGGATAAATGATGCCGCCGATCGTTTTACTTCACGGGAATTTCTTCTATCGAATCAGATCGACGAGGAATCAAGCGTGGACGATCAATCGAGCTGAATTCTTTCTTCGATTATTTTACGGTATGCGATATCACTTGAAATTTGTTCTATTTTGAAAAGAAAGGACGTCGTGGATTTGTTCTAACATTCGAGAATGAACGGACTAAATTATGAATTCGTGTACGTATATTTGAGGAAAAGGAAAAACGAAATAGCATTTTAATGATAACGAAGAAAATTGTTCCTTTTTGATATTAAATTTCTGGTTTTGTGAAATATTAAGTTACATTCGTGGCGAAAATGATATGCAACGAATTGTGTTGCGTCGTGCGCTTCGAACATTCAGTATGCTCGAAAATGGTGGCGCAGGATTGTCGGTGGTTCTTGGTGTGGGTTGGTTGTTGTTGTGAAGTCGTGGTGACTTAGAGTTTGCACGTACTTCAATATGTTGTAAGACAAAGGCTTCAATGATATGCAACGAATTGTGTTGCGTCGTGCGCTTCGAACATTCAGTATGCTCGAAAATGGTGTGGGTTGGTTGTTGTTGTGAAGTCGTGGTGATTTAGAGTTTGCACGTACTTCAATATGTTGTAAGACAAAGGCTTTATGTTGAAGAGTGACAATTTTATGTGGTGTGTGTTCGTTACGTGCTACTTGTCTATTTTCCCTTTCTGATCAGTCTTTTTGCCGCGTTGGTGCGCTTATTTATAAATGGGTGTACGGGTACAAGGTGGTGGTTTCCGCCAATGAGGACGGGTCTACCCTCTTGGACGGTCCTCCCTGGCCAGCGAGCATGCCGACCACCCTGGAATTTCCAAGTTGGCAGGGTGGTGGTGTGTCGCGATGACGGGGGAGTGAGGCCCAAGGAGCTTTGGGCGGTCAGGGAGACGCGAGAGGTTTTATGACATGTCAATGTCTATTGAATGTTCACGAGTGGGCACCGGGAAGGTATCTGGCCCGCAGAAAATTTATTTTTCTGCGGCCATAAAACGCTTCCTGGGCTTCGTGGGCAATTTGAAAGAAAAATTAATTAACGCGAAGAAAAAAAGGGGCGCATTCAAAAATAGCGTAAACAGGCGTCCATGTCATAAGCCCAATCCCTAACAAATTGAAAAAAAAAATACTTTTAGTACACTGTAATTTTTTCTAATTTTTGAAACGAGAATTGTCAGGAATAAATTGGACGCAATATTTCAACTCCATTTTTTAATTAATACCAGAGGATATTAAAGCAGAGAATATGAAATTTTAACACGTGCAATTAGTGAAAGAATAATAAGGTAAAGGGTTAATATTGAAAGCTTGGAAAGTGTTCTGCGAAGTTCAGTTCTGAAAACTACTCAATGGTCGTACAACTATGAGTGCTCAATGCTCAAGTTGCTTTTCATTCTAGAACCTGCGAAGCTTTAAAGCTTCAAAACTTTACAGAGGTGGAGAAAAGAAATAATTCAAACACTGAAAGTGTAAGGTTAACGAGAGATTGAACACTCCAGATGTTGAAAGCTTTGATTTCGAAGTTTTTTTTTTTTGCAGCGGAAAGCTTTGACTTCAAAAGTTCGCTTTTGGAATTTTTCAACTCCACACATTTTCTCACGTGAAAAGAACTGATTGCGAGTTTTAGAGCTCGAGGTTGCGAAAGCTTTGAATTCGGAATTTCAAACTTGAGCAAGCTCGACTTTTTAAATAGAAAGTTTACATTCGCGAATACTCCTAAATTAAAAATTTTATGAAAAATAATTTCTTCCCATGAAAATTGTCCGCAATTAACAAATTTCCACTTCCAAGATCACTTAACGAAGGATCATATTTTAAAGATCATGTGTGTTACTTATGTTTTATTAGTATTGAGGTAAATTTCCTATCAAGTTTGTCCAATTTTAACGAAACATTTACACGTCTGTCTACGGAGAACTATTAGTTAGAGAGGGTCTAATATCACCAAGTAGTATATCGTGTCACGAAGTTGTATTTGAGTTTGAATTTGACGCACACGGTGATCCAGAGAACGTCCATGCAGAATCCCATAATCTGGCTGCACATCAGCATTGTCCACTGCGTGAAAGGCAAGATCGTCTCAAGTATGACATCTCAGACCACCGAGGAATATCAAGGGAATTACTATACCTGTCGTATCAGTATTACATGCTACACCTAAACGTGTACATTATCATCTTAATTTAACGATTTTGGATAAATAACAAAACAGATTACAAAAAGAACGATAAAATTGAAATTTTCCGCACGAACAATAATCTTACTGCAATTACTATCAAAATCGAATAACAATCGAGCATCTTTCGTGAATGGAAAAAATTTGACATACGAAGGTGGAAATGTGACATAAACTCAGACACTGAAATACGATTACATTTCTGAAAGACACAAGTCTAACGACAGCAACGTACTTATTGGAAAATTTGATCGAAAAACAGAATTAAAATTGGAAAATAGAATTGAATTCCTGAAAGATAGAAACCTGTATTTTAAGATTTAACGATAGCAACGTACTTATTGAAAAATCTGATAAAGGAGGAATGAAAATTAGCGCAAGAGGTATTTCAATGGACGTTAAAACTTTCACATCGACGTGTTCGCCAGTGATAACTTATGAAAAATCGAGCCTTGGCGAGAAGTGCAATCAGGAAATTGCGGATCGCTGGCGGGATAAACAAATGGCGAAGTGACTGTATCGTTAAAGCGGTTGTCCGTCATTTCGATTGACCTGCACGCATAATATTTCAAGAGAAATGTAACTACCAGGTCACATGCGATCCGCGAATAGCGTACATGCGTTATGATAGATGATAAAATGCGCGGCAGTGTACGAACAAAGAAACCGTATTCGCGGCTGGTCTCGCGTTGATGTTATTAATGAACAATTCCACGCAGCAAGTCGAACCGCGAGACAGCCGTTCTCTTCTATTAACAGCCGTCTGAACTCGATTCGGTACAGTGCTCTTCGTTATTCGGAATAGTTCGTTAAATTACGTACACCTTGGTGAGTGTGTGAAGTTGCAAAACTAAATTAGATTTCTAATTGTAAAGAAATTGATAAATTCAATAAATTATGAGAAAAGAAAATTGTAGAATTTTAAATATTAAATAAAATTGAATTGAAATTCAAATTTAATAGCGAAATAGAGAAATTTCAGATTTCTCTTTATTCACAAATTGATAATCTATTAAAAGTCGTATGAGATTTTAAATCATTCAGAAATTGATCGATTCGGTGATTACTTGAGTGCTGAGTTCTGAATTTTTTCGTGTTAACATAAAGTTCACACAATTCCTGGCAAGTTACTGTTAAAGAATCTAAGGGAAATTAATTTATTTAAATTTTACAAAACAATTCTCATTCCTCCACGAAAAATCTGATATTTCGTATTATATTCTGTTTTCTAATATTCATACCTTTTGGTATTTCTAATTGGGAATGCGACAAAGAATGAATTGCGCCAATTAAGAATTCTTTAGTCGAACAAAATCAGCACAATATACTCTGTTAATAATTCTTCAAATAACGCGAAACATCAACTTCGTCATGTTGCAAAAATACCGAAATATCGTTTAAATGTAAATTTTCTTTCCGCATTAATATCGATAATACCGAAAAAGCGTCGATGATTTTTCACCGTTCAACGGATCGGCGTGGAAATATTTCTCTCTTAAAATTAATATTCCGACCCACGTTTTCATTTTTCGTAGTCGCATAATGAACTTCAGGCCGTAAAAGTGTATTGTTTAAAGTGTGCGCGCGATTAAATTCGACGCGGAGCTGCTCGCATTACGTCAACTGAAACTAGTTAACAACTCTATCTCGCGTTAAATGATAGCGGATGGTTACAAGCTTTTGCATTTACCGGGGCAGAAGAGCAAGCGCGTGTTATGCTGATGCTGAAAACGGGGAACTTACACTCGTTACGTTTCGTGTAATGAACTTTCAGAATGACGGGCAACATGAACACAGCCTACACTCAGAGTGCGAGCTAGAATTATCCTTTCCTTAAAGCACCTATTTTATATTCAACACTTTTCCGTGTAGTTTTAACGGAGTATTTGCGTTACAGAGGAAACTCGATAAATTCAGCGCGATATTCGAAGTGAAAAATATTAGAGAGACGAATATTTATTTCGTTTTTCAAACATATTTATCGCAACTTGGATTTTGTCGATTTTACATATGAATTAGGTTGTGTAATATGAAATTCAGGTTGATACTAAATTCCCTTAACAAGAATTGGATGAATTTTAAGTCATCACGAACGAGCTCAGAGCTTTTCAACATTTTTAAAAAATCATTCGAGTGATTTTTTTTTAATTAAGTAAAGTATTTACAATTTGTTCAGGATGAATTTTGTGCACAATCGAATTAGATAAATTTGACTTTGAAATGAATAATTTTTGTTTGCTGGTTAATTGCTGTAATTGAAATTTCGTTACATGTTCGCAATGAGGTACAGTAACGTCAGAAACGATTGTTTTCTACGGGAGATGAGTATTTACCTCCTTTTTGGTGAAACGATAAGACGTTGTCGTCAAACTGGTGTCTCTGGACGGAGGTGGTGGTTCCTTCGCCCTTGCCTCCACTTCCTGAAGAACCACAAGCCTTCGATTTTGCTGCTTCCAAGATAACGCGGTGAAACTTTCAAAGAAGGAGCCGTCTGTGTCTTGAATCCTGGAAGATCAACTACGTTTTATTCTCGTCACTTGTTGCTCGTTCGTTTCCCCTGCACTCTCGCGTATACAGGGTGATCTGATCAAAATCGCTGTCCAGATCACAATATCAATTTATCGCTGATCCAAGGGTAATTTTCAGTTATTTAACTCTCAGAATTTGAGAAAAAAAGGAAAAATTTGACAGAAAATTCGAATTTTTATTAATAAAATAATCGCTAAATAATAATATCTCTTTCGTCAAATTTAGCGGTGTTTTAATAATTTAGGCATTCTCCCCAAAATACTTTCCATATTTTAATACTACAATTTTTATCAAATTTTCATCAAACTTTTCATGCATATTTATAAAATCACAATTTTCTCCTCTAAATAACATTAAAAACATTCGCGAATTAATTAAATTGAAAATGAATAGTGAAAAGAGGGAACAGTTTGTTTGGGAAATAAATTCGAACTTTTCCTGCTAAATCGAGTTAAAGCAGGAAAATTCGAGGCGCGATAATCCTCGTACAATAGTGAAAAGGTTACGTGTCGATGATTTAGCGACAAGAAAGGAACAATCGACAGTAATCGCGGCAATTGTTCAAGGCGAGCTGCTCGCCGTCTAATTATCGCGCGCGCATACACGTATTTCCGCTCGTTTTTTCCTCGCACTTGCGTGTGCGCTGAGTTTTGCGTCGTTGCAGCAATATCGATCAGTCGAGGTGTTCCACAGTTTTTTTCCCTTCTGTTCCTTTCTCGCCCCGCCACCCCTCCGCTCCTTTTTAATTAATGTACGGCACTTCTGCGAGCGGGAAACGACACAACGAAACACGTTTCGCTGCAGTTTGGAAATTGCCTTTTAAAAAGCATCCACCGTTTCCGGGAGAAATTTCGCCAATGAAATTGGACTTCCCCTCGATCCTACGCCTTTTGGCGACAGTGCACGCTTCGAAATCGTAAGTGTACACTCGATTTACCACTATCGACGATACTGACGCACGCATGTCCGCGTGTTTATACGTAATTAACGACAATTACCTAACTTCCAATGACTACTCCTGTCGAAGTTGTCTCTTTCGGTGTGCTTTTAATTTAAACTATTTTGTTCTTCGTTAAATGTTTGGGAGCTTTAATTAAATATAGCGTAACTTTTATTGCTGGGATTGCAAATTAAACGAAATCTAATCTTTATTCGTAATTTATGGTTAAATATAGCAGGTCATAGTGATACTATGCAACTTATATCTTAAATTTTTTCTTCAAATATATTTTCAAGTATAATATCAAACATCTTCAGTTGATTTCTACCTCTCAGATTATTATTCCAGTAGATCCTCACTCTAATGCCTTCAAATCACTTCTTTTCCGATACTAAAAATACAAATTAAAAAATAAAAATATTAAATTAAATTAAAGTGCAAGTACAACGATGGAAACAGAAATATTTCTAAAATATCTCGTTCAAAGTATACCGATACAAAGTGACCGAATAACGCGAGTAAAAGGGTTAAACGACACAAAGCATAAATGATCGAAAAGTTCTATTCAACTTTGCAAGATTCGTCTGTAAAGAAATTAATAAAGCATTGAAACTCTTTCACGTTTCTTCAAAGTTTGCACAACCATGTTGCTTTTGAGCTACGCGCACACAACACACAAATTTAGTTTAACTATGCTTTACGAGTCACATCGAAGGAAGTCATTTTTCGCCAATTCGCAGTGATCACTTTTACAGCAGATATTCCGATGAAAAGCGCGCAGCATGGTAGATAGGAAGTTTATTGAATGAAATGAAAACGTTAGAGGGTCTTTGAAACAACACCGATGTCTCTTGAAATGATATCGAATTTTTATTCCCGATGTAGCCGCGATGTCGGATGTAACGGCGTAACTATCGGGATACGGCTAGTTAGAATGGTTTACATACTTCGAGCTAATAGCAGAGTCACTCGTAAAGTCAACAGGTGTGGCGTTAATTTTCGTGTTCCATTAACGCTGAATTTAAAGCACGCTTCCGCAGTGTGCCCGATCTTCCGAATTTATGCGCGTTCGCGTTCGTATCGTGCGCATTATGCTGCTTAGTTGTGACGAATTTTTTGGAAAATTATTGAAAAATGTCCTTCATTCGGAAATTAATTTACGGTGAATATTGGAGTAAGTAAATTTATTGCAGAATTTTTATACTTAGTCTTTAGTCGTGACGAATTTTTTAGAAAATTATTGAAAAATGTCCTTCATTGGGAAATTAATTTACGGTGAATATTGGAGTAAGTAAATTTATTGCAGAATTTTTATACTTAGTCTTTAGTCGTGACGAATTTTTTAGAAAATTATTGAAAAATGTCCTTCATTGGGAAATTAATTTACGGTGAATATTGGAGTAAGTAAATTTATTGCAGAATTTTTATACTTAATTTTCCAATAGAAATGACTTCTCAGAAATTCAAATTTCAAAGATGAATAATTTTTAATACCTATTTCATATACACTACGGGCCAAAAGTTTGGGATCACCTTTCAACTTTCATCAATACTGAATCTGCTGCTAATTTCTTATAGATTTCAAATTGATATTGTGGAGATGAATAGCAATTTACCTTAAATCGATTGATTCGAATGATAAAAAATTCTTAACGTTGCAATTTTTTTCTGCAAATTTTTGTATAACTTGCTATGCACAGTGATTCTAAAGCGGCCGGTAGTGTATGTATATTGTGCAAGAGTTTTTCTGGTGTAGAAAAATCTTCTTACCTTATCGATATCAGAAGATTATTATAAGAAACTAAAATGCCAAATAATGTAGATTATTTTGAACGTTAAAATTGCGTTTAACTTAAAAAAAGTAAATATACAAGTGTTAAAGAAAAGCTACCGATTTAATTTCTACCCCTATTTGGCAATACTTTACGTTCTATCCACAAATTTATGACAATCATCGTACAGATCTTCTCAAAGAAACATTTCAAAAATCCCAACACCATTTTCACACTTGTCAATCTTTACACAGCAAAACTCTCCCCTAGTTTCCACACGAAGGTTATCGGACGCGGTAATCTCGGCAACTGCAGAAAGAATTGCTTTCTTAGGAACAATAAAACGCCCCTTTTGAGCGACGCCGGAGACACAGGACAAAGGGATACGAAAAGGAGCGTGGAAACTAGCAAGATGAAAAATATGCAGATGAAAATACGCTAAGTGAGCGTGTCTTTGACGCGTCTGAAGGATCCATCGGTCGTCCCGGATCTAATTTAAATCCGAAAGAAGCGACGCCACGCTCAGAGTCCCGAAGGAACGTTCCACTTGGGCATGGCCGGTACGAGAGACGCTTCTTTCGTGGGCCGCGACGCCGATTAATCGAAATGGGACCGTTATTCCCTCCGACCGTGTCTGGAAATATTGTTCGGTTCGCGTCGCTCCGTTGGAGAGGTCGCAGCAACTCTCCGGAGGAAAGAAAGGCGCTCGTTTTAAACTAATTTCAATTTTATCGATCGAAATTCAGGCGAAAGAGATTGTTGGAATAATATTTTGTATATTTGTATTTCCGCAGATCTTGCGATTGGTTATTGTTCGAAAAAGGAAAATCTTGAATTTTAACGTGTTCAAATATTTCCCTGCCTCTGGATAGAATTGTTGCTTTGTTTTGTCGAATTAAAAGGCCGAATAATGTACCCAAATTGCGTGTGGATGTATATATGCGGCGCGTTCTAGATTAGCGCTGACGTGAAATGAATTTTAGGAAAGTTCGGGATACTTTTCTTTAGCTCCGAGTTTCTGCGAACATTTCAAAGAGAAAAGTGGAATTCATACTTTACAATGGTGTTTTTTAAATTTGTGTTTGTGAATTGTGGGAATTATTAAAATTTCGTCGCTGGGAATGAATTTAATATTACTTCTTGCGATATGCCAAATAAGGAAATAGAAAAGGAGTTGATATTTTTCAATGGTAATTTCAAGATTTACCTTTCTGGATTATGAGAGTCGATAAATTCTTGCTACTGTGAATTTAATATGAATTTTGATAAAATTGCAAATATTGCTGTAATTAATACAAAAATTGTGCATTTTCAAATGGTGATTTTAAAATTGATATTTATGAATTATGAGAATTATTAAAATTTTGTCACTGTGAATGAGTTTAATGCGATTTTTCACGAAATATCAAATATGAGAATAGAAAAGAGGAATTAATATTTTTCAATGGTGATTTTTAAATTTTTGTTTTTGGATTATGAGAGTCATTAAATTCTTAATATTGTGAATTTAACATGAATTTTGATAAAATTTCAAATATTGCCGTAATCGTGCATTTTCAAATCTTGTATCACTTTGACATCTTCTCTTTTCCTTTCCTGCAAGGTGACGACGTCACAGGTCCTGAATATTTCTTTAACGACTCACTTTATCGACTCAGCGACACCTTAAAATACCTAGTCACTTGACAACAATCGACGTAGCAATACGTTACTCAAGAAACACACAGCGCTGAGCGTTGACGTAGCGCCACAGCATTGAGGTGGATTTATGGTTCCTTGGCCGCGATTTATCGCAGCCCGATTTGAATTTATCGCGTTTCGCGTCGCGGTTAGCAACGTTCAAGCGCGTAATCGAGAGTTCTGTGTGAGAGGTGTTAGGATTAAAAGCCTATTAAACAGAACTTAACTACTCTTAACGCCAGCTTAGACCAATTTAAGTGAAACTTTCACACTTTCCAAAATCAACACAGTCAGCCCTCGGAAAATCTTCCAATTATTATTCAAGAATTTAATCAATCTTCCTAGAAAAAAAAAAATTATCCCTTAAAATCTTTCAAATATAGAGCAACGAGAGAAAAATTCATTTTGACGAAGGATTTGATACACGTTCGATTTTGAAACATTTAATATCGAACGTGTGAAAATGGTAATTGGCCCGATTTCAGCTGCAAGATTAATTTTCGTGAAACGAATCAAAGACGTGCTTGACTTGGACAAGTGTGTTATTGAAGTGTGGGTTTGGTGTATTCTTAGAGGTTTCGTTG